AAAAAATTTAAATATTAAAAAAATTAGTAAAAATCTTTGCAGGCAAATTTGCCTGTGTTACAATTTAAGGGATAATAAGTTTATACAAAATTAGATCTTAGTATTACATATATTCTTCGGGGTCCTATCCTAACCCTAAACTATACACTTATATATATTAATAACTAACTAATTAACTAATATTATAAATGTGGTGAAATTCATATTAACGATATCAAAAAGATAGTAACAAGAAAAATCAAAAAACAAAAGACCAAAAAACAAAGAGCTTCATAGACCAAACAACTATTACTTGCAAAAATATTAATAAGACACAATAGCAAAAACAACAAAAATAAATAAAACTATACTCACAAAAACTTAGAGATGCTCTTATAAAACCTAACATATTTACAATCTGAAAAGCCAATAATAACATACTCTTAAGAAAACTCTAAAATGTTTACGAACTTAAAAAGAAAAATCAAGTATTAGTAAGTAAAACAAAAACAATAAATAATAATACTTTTCAAGATTTACTCCCAGAAAAGCTCAAAATGCACTATAAAAAAGAACAGATATTAATAACATATTCATAACTAAACATAAACAAATAAATGAAATCATGCTTCCACTAAAATTCAAAACTACATGGAGCCAATCCAAAAAAGACACAGTATACCTATACTATAGTACTAAAGGTAGCAAATAGTGTCACTAACAATGACAGTATGAAGATTAGCAAAATCACAAAAATGCAACACTAGTTCAATATTAATAACTTTACTAATGCTAAAACAATAGTGATAACTATAGTAACACAAAAGCCAATAACTACAGTTTTAGTAACAATAAATTAGCAACAACACAACAAAGTTATAATATCAATGACACTAAAGCCAAAGGTTCAACGAACTCACCTCTTCATTAGCAACAAGGCTTAGCAAAAAATTTGTACTAAAAGTTAAGCACCATGAAATTGCACTAACTATGACAACAGAATATTAAAATCATACAACCGAAAATAGAGTCAGCAAAAATGGCAATCAAAGGCAGTTGAAGGAACTATAAAATTACAATAGCAAAATCATAACAAATGAGATAACTATAGTTTAAAAGAAAAAGTGTTTAGTATAATAGTAATAAAAAAAAAAAAAAACTAGTGATTATTAATTATTACTGATTGTTTATATACCCCATAATAAGAGATGCATAGTTATAGGCAGATATTCATATGATTGGCAGTCTAAATTAAATTAATTTTATATTATTTATACAGTTTAAAGTATTTTTTAAAAAAAAATATATAGAAAGGTTTATTAGGGTTGTAGAACTCTACTATTAAAAATAATTAAAATTTGTTTTTGTTTTAAAGAAGTTAGTATAATAACATCTTCTTAAAATTAGATTATCACTGTGCTAACTTCTTTAAAACAAAAAAGAATTTTGATTATTTTTAATAGTAAGTTCTACAACCCTAATAAATCTTTATATATACTTCTTTTTTGTTTATTTATAGTAGTTTTTTTTTTTAATAAGTACTTTAAACTGTATAAATAATATAAAATTAAATTGATTTAAACTGCCAATCATACAAATGTCTGCTTATGAGGTGCATAGTGTACTAAAATATAAATTTCTTTTATAAAAGACTTTTTCATATTAATTTAACACATAGACACAAGTTAAATCGATGAATATTGAGTACATACTGAAAAACAAGTTTCCTGTTATATAGCTAATAGTTTGTTTTAGATTCACTAAATTTGCTATTATGTTGCTAATATCGATCTACATCCTAATATCTTATTGTTTTTTAGCAAACTATTAAGTACATAACAGGAAATTTGTTTCTCTATATATATACAATATTCATTGATTCAACCTGTAGTGGTTTTTTAATAAATTGATTTAAGTTAAAAAACTCACTATTAATAAGGCGTTTAAAAAAAAAACTTTGTTAGTTAACTACTTGAAAATTAAGCTATTATAAAGCACAAAAAAAATAAAAACTCAAATATATCACTTTGTATCTCCAAATAATAAAAATAAAAGACATTGTATTCAATTGCAAGAAAATATGTGTAAAAAAAGAAAATCAGAAACTGCTAAAGAATATAAAAAATATCTAAAAAAAAAACGTAAATCAAAATGTCAAAGAAGAATAAAATATTCACTAGAGAACAATAATGCTCAAAATCAGAATACTAATTTATTGCATGTAGAATCATCTTCTGTTAATATCAAACAGTAGCTTTCTAAACCCATCAAGATCTTTTACAGAATTTTTATACTAAGATTAATAAACTTGTGAATAGATTATATCCTATTTGTAAGGAGTATTTCCTATCAATTGAGCTTATAGGCGTAAAAAAAGAGTGTCATCACTATTATTATAATACTAGAGATATTTATAAAAAAATTCTCAGAAGAAAACAATATGAATCCAGATGATGTATCTAAAAAATTACATGGGCTTACTGAGATAGAAGAAATATTAATCGCACAAATTTTTTTTGTTATTTTGGTGTATTGTTTTTGTGAAAGTCAGTATATATACCATAGTAATGTTATCAACTTTCCACAAGATGTATTAAAGTTCATAGCTAGACTTTTCTGGAATCTATCATCATTAGATATTCTTGTTGTATATCATCAGTTAGCAAATAGTATAGCATTTAAAAATTTTAATATTCATTGTGTTAAAGTTGCTTGTATACTATATTGGTTAAAAGTAAACAATCATTATTATGCTAATATTGCTATTGATAATGAAATATTACAATTCTTATCTAACAATGGACCCATTATTAATCAGCTACCCCAGCTCAAAGATGTAGAGGGTAAATATTTTGATAATAACAATGATAAGACTGAAGAAATTATTACTAGCAACTTTGTTTCTACACCCTTTCCATCTTCTAATAAAGAACATGCTATTGCTAGCACTCTTAATTGAATACAAGCTAATAATATTTCTTTTATGTAGCCAAATATAGATAAAAGTCCTATTAATAAATTTCAAACACTTGGGAGCATGGCGGATATTCAATTTGATTGGCTTGAATATCACTAAATTACACAATATAAAAAAAATTTTAAAGTAACCCTTACTATAAAAAACTATATTATGACTTGACAACTCGTAGTTTTATACAATGACTTTTTTTTAAAAACCATTTTAAAGTATTTTTTACTTCTTTGTATATATTTAGTGAAAAAAGATCTGTATAAATTAGTATCACTAAAGACTTTATTTAAAAAGCAAATTTAGCAAGTAATACAGTAATACAGTATATAACAAATACCATATATTGCCGAAAATAAGCCACCTCTAAAAATAAGCTACCCTTTTTTCTTGAAAAAGAAACATAAGAAAATTTGTTATTCCGAAAATAGGCTATCCTGATAATTTTTTAAAATTCAGAAGTAGTTTCTATTTATAAAAGTCAAAATTCTATTAAGTAAATCGATAAAAGTCACTTAATAGGAGTTGTTCAGGACGTAAAAATACACATATTTTAAAAG